AGTGCTGCTCTATTCATAGCCATCATTCTCTTGTGCAGATACTTATTTAAATACAGATAACACACTCACTCTTCTCTGGCATGTCCATACATAAATCTTTCCCCAAAAATGCTTGAATATGCACTCAGTGTTCACATGTCTCAAAAAGCTTTCTTTACCTTAAGTTCTGTTACTCTATTTTTCCTCCTGGAGCTATCCACTTACTTGCTGGTCCAACAAGCATGTGTGCTTGCAACAGAATGCTGACTGAGGCCACTGGGAGTCTTCAGCAGGCCACAGCTTTCCTAAATGGATACCACAGCACTGTAGTACCAGTTATGAGCTTCCACCAGCTCAACTCTCTTTCTATCCAGTCAACTCTTTCTATCAAGAGATAGAAAAGTAGTCCTCACTTTTTCTCTACCTTGGCTATACCTGCAGCCTTGTGTTTACACTGTACAAACTGACTCACCTTTTTGTTGCCTTTAAAGCGCACAGCAATAAAATTCAATAGCACGCTCACAGCTCTACATGCGTCACACAAACTAGCTTACGGTTTTATCAGGAATAGAATAATAATTGTTCTGTCTCTTTACCAGATCCAACTCTGCAATCTAATAAATTCAGAAACAAAAAGTTCTTTGCAGCTTTCTTTTGTTAGAGATGATGAAAAAGCTCTCTCCCATTTCTATGATACATTCATTGTCAAGAGGGATCCAGGATTCTGTCTATCTTTAATCCTCTCATTGCCTGCCCTACCACAGCCCACCTGCCCCAACCTCAACAAGGACAGTCACACTCCAGTCAGCCTCCTTAATCATGCTGCTGTGGGTCAGCCCCGCTGCCTGATGCCACTCTCAGCCCTGAATCACCCCATTAAAGGCTAATCTGTCACACCATCACAACTGCTGCCCTCATTTTTAGAGTCCTTACCATGCTAACCCACTCCTACCTATCATCCCTCACCAAGTTAGTACCTGGTAAACTTGTCACCTTCAGCCAGCCCCTGAAGCTGCACTCCATTACCCATTACTTTTTATTATCATTGTGAATATCTGAAGTCCACAACTCTTCAAAGCTCCTTGCTCTTAAGTTTTCCTTTGGAGTCACAAATGCAAATTTCTGTCAACACCAAATTACTATGCTTTCACAGCCTGATTTGCAAAAATGTAAATGTGATAACTAGTAATAGAGGTCACCTATCACTGTTGTTAGCTTTCTTCCACTTGTTTTGTGCAAGCATCTCAAATGTGAATTCATGCATTTAGTTATTTGAAACCATAGACATTATTTTGTTACACTGGGGTCTTTCTGTTATTCTCTCTCCAGCAAGGTTCCTGGTAGCCCACTTACATTCACAGAAAGCCACCCAAACTTCCAGTGCTTCAGCATACGCCACAACTGGAAGCCTTCCAGTTACTCTTATGCACTAGAAATGATAGAAAGCTTGGCATGACTGAGCCTAAACTTTTTCGCTTTTACTGATGAGTACAGCAAGCAACAGAGATGAAGTATTAACCCACCAAGGCTCTTCTCTGCTGTCTAGAGCCATTTTCTTCCTAGTTTGACTTCTGCCATAACTAGATACAGACCTTTAAAATCTAGCAAGAAACAGTGAGGTTTAACCCATTGGCCCTTACTATCTTTAAGTACAAATGTTTCTGAATACTCTTCTGGATGCAGACCATAATTATTAATTCTAGAAGTGGGGTTTATTTCAGCAGTATTCATAGCAGCACCTATTTTGAAATTCAAATAGCAACCATAGCTACTCCTATCTATTATCTTTCAAAAGGATTGACCAAATTAGAAGGAAAACATCAGGACATTCATTTTGTTCCGAAAAGCCTGCATATTTTTCCTCATCATTCTTCAAGAGACTGGTAGATGAGAACGTCTTGATGCACACAACCTCAATTTGCATTTATTAGCCTTATAATTTCCACCCTGCCTTCCAGTAGCTGGGCACACAAAGAAGAACGTGAAAATCACTAAAACTGCCAACACTGTGTAAGCTATTCCTCTCTAGCATGTCTCACCCTGAGCTCTCCAAGTCCCATGAAAGCCACCACATAGTCAGCTTCTCTGTGATCTTTCTGGTTCAAAGCAGGAATACCCCCTGCACCCTCGCTCTGAACACCTGGCAGCTGTCCCAGAGAAAACCTGCATGGTACTTAACGCTGACAAAGCCAGCAGCAGCCTCCCTCTGTGCCTCCTCCTACAGGGCCGAAGCACAGCGCAGACAAGACCCGCCGCCATCACATGCAGCAAAGAAGGCTGAGGAGCACTGCCTGTGCATAGGCCTCAGCAGCTGAAACTTGGTCTCTCCAAGCTTCTTCATCCCCAGAGTTGTCTCCTAGAGTAGAAGGAAAACAACCAGCACCATTTGTAAGCACTGCTCCTCAAGGAGAGGACTCGAGGGAGTCAAACCACATGCTTACATCAAACATTTAAACTTGTTCTGAAGTTGGTTTTGATTGTAGCTGGCACTTTGCTAGATGCCACCGTTTGTTCACTTCGTGTCAATTGCAAGTAAAACGCAGGAGAAAAAAAAAGTGCACTAGGTAAAATACTGTCTGTGCTTTATCTCCAATTTCATCTGGGGCTTTCGTAAGCAATCTACATTTCTGTGGTATTGAGATGTCAGACAGTTACAATGATTCATACGAAGATGACCACAGAGAACTGCTCATTTTTTGCACATTCAGGTTTGTTCCTTTCCTCACTCCAGATCTGACAGACGGTATGGTTTGCAACACACTGTGAAAACATCACTTCATCAGTGTCCCTAAAGCAAACTCTATGACATGGCCGTATTTGCTCTCAAATTAGCCTGAGCTCTGCTGACAGGCGTGACTGATCACATCGTTCCCTGCAGCCCTGAACAAAGCCCGAATGTTCGCTACCCAAAGGCGCCATTCTTTGGGGACTCCTTTATTTGCCCACACAGGATTCTCTTGTGCACAGACACAGAAACCAACAGCCAACATTGGATTCCGTGAATCATCCAAACCTATGCACCGACCTACAGTCATACATTTTTTATGCAGTAACAAAACAGTTTCACAGCTCGGAGCGTTAACCCACAGAACCCCTACTGCTCCCACTAATCTCCTGACACAGCTACTCAAGCCCTACTTGCCCAAGATACAAAGGCAGGAAAACAATGATGAGGAACCCTTCCTTATCCTCACTCACTGAGGATTCAGTCAGGTAATGTAAATGCTCAGATGAAAATGAACGATTGGGTGATGCTTCCATTCTGAATTCTTTTTTTCTTCTGGTTAGCCAAAAACTAATTGGTTAAAAAAATAATAAGATAACCAAGTATTAACAGACTCCATTGGAAAAATCAAGATTTGAAAACTGTTCTCTGGTTTTGGTTTATGACAGGAGTTCAGTATCAAGGCTGTTCTCCTGCCCTCCGTATCAGTGAAACTCATCTTTGTTTCCTACCTCAAGGATATTTAATTCATTTTCTGGGTATCTTTAGTTGGAATTTCAAGCACTGCACGTTAGCCAGAAAACTGATTCACAAGAAATGGGTTAGGAAACGTACCACTGAATTCTACATAATCAGTATTTCTCTTTAAGATAACTTTAATTTGTATCTCAAGAGTAAAATTAATGTGTCCAGACAGACAGCTGTAGGGCCCATGCTGCTGCATAGGGCTTGTCAGCCATATCACCAGGGTAGTACTACTTATGTTCTCGCTGCAACTAAGCAGAAGGCATGAGTGTTAAAGACAGTATCCATTTGAGAGGCTTGAGCTGAAATTGGGTCACAACACTCACTAATAATCACTGAAGGACACTGCAGGGAGCAGTGAAGAAAAGAAATGGAGCAGCTCAAAAAATACCAAAAAAGAAGCAGGCTAGCTATCAGCTCGTCAATATAACACATCATCAACATTCACCGTATCATCCAAGTGATGGTTTCCAATAGAAACCTGTACAGGCTCCACAAACCAACAAATAAAAGCCGCTTGACCGGAACCACACTGGTTTTGTGCTGTTGACAGTTACTCCTGCAAACACACTGAATCCTTTGTACAAGCACAAAGGCTGAGCAATGCATTGCCCCAATGTGCTCAAAGCTACAGATGCGGGGGAGATGGGGGAAATACGCCAGGAGGAATGTTGCTGCCCTGCAGATTAAGGCAGGAGTGGGATCACCCAGCAGTGGACAGCTGGCAGCAGGCTCCCTCCTGCCTCCTCCCTGGGAGAAGCCTGAACTTCACACCCTGATGCACCCAACAGCTTCCCACAGGCCTTTAACATGTACTATATGAGTCGCCAAATAGTAAGGAAAAAGGGAAAGAAATATAAAGGGTAATTAAAAAAAGGAAAGAAAAAAAAAAAAACAACCATATTAAATCAATGCATTTCCTACAGCTGAATAGAGAGGAGGAGTCTGATAGCATCTCTGTAAGAGAACACTGTAAGTAAAGCAGCACGCAGTATGCAGTACTTTGCGTTCTTGTGACATGCTGGGTATTCCCTGGCACCTCTGGGTGCTGGGCCGGCATTCTATTAACATTACAATAACCTGGTTTTTAAATTAAAAAGCACATCAGGTCACATTTGAATGGAAATCAACTATCAGGCTCGTTTAACTCATGGTAGGAGATCAGGGCCCCTGTTTCATTCTGTGCGTTCTGACGTTCGCACATACAGCCAGCTCCAGACCAGATTACCGTGAATCTCTGCAGAGACTTCAGCCAGACACCCCATCAAAAGGCCCCATTACGAGCAACACCCAGCATAATTCACACGCTCCCATTTTGCGCTCCGCAGCTCCGACACCTCTATCTATCTCGGGAAACCCGGCGCCGGTGAACGTCGGCGGATCGCCTCTCGAGCGACGGCAGGCTGCGTCCCCGCGCCAGCCAGCTCGACTTTCTTTTCGGAAAGCATGCTTTATGCGCAACCACGTCTACAGGCAGCCCGGCCCGCGGAGCAGCCCGGTCACCAGCGCTGCACGCAGCGCCCCGGCAGGACCCCCGTCCCCGCGGCCTTACCTGCGGCGGGCGGCGCGCGGAGGGGCTCGGCCTGCTGCAGGGTGACGGCCCCGTCCCGCCACACGCGGAGGTGGGCGGCCGCCCCCAGCCTGCCCGCGGGGCTCTCCCGGCGGCGGGCCCGCAGCCAGGCGCAGCACTGGTAGCAGACGGCCCACGCCTGCTCCTCGTTGATGGGCTGGTTGTAGAGCCGGAGGATCTCCTCCAGCGACAGTGCCTCCGGCTGCCCGCCGGCCCCGCCGTCCTCCTCCTCGTCGGCGGCGGCGGAGGAGCGGGAGGCGCCGGGCTGGGGCTCCGCGCCGCGCTCCCCCGGCAGCGCCATGCCCCGCTCCGCAGCCCGGGCTGCCCGCGCTGCTCCTCGGCTCAGGCCCGGCCGCTGCCGCTCGCGGTGTCGCTGCCGCTGCTTGTGGTGCCGCCGCGCGGTCCCGCCGTGCTCATCCTCCTCGCTCCACCAGTGGCGGCAGGCCGCCGGACAGCCCGGCCCAGGCGGGCGGGCGGGCGGGCAGCGGCCGGCCGGCGGGAGGAGCGGCGCCCGCCGCTGCCGCCGCAGGGGGCACAGCTCATAGCAACGCAATGGCGTCCTCGCCCGCCCCCGCCGCCAGCAGCCGCCGCTCGGCGCCGCAGCGCCCCCTGCCGGCCGGGCCCTGCTCGCCGCGTCAGGCGCAGACGAACCTGAGCCGTGGAGCCGCGGCACCCGCGCAGCTCCGGCGATAAACCCCCCTCCAACTTTTAGCAACCGTGCGATCCTACGGCGCCATTAGTCGGGTTTACAGGGAGCGTCGGCGAACCGAGCGCTGCGTTCGAGCTGAGGGAGAGCCGCGGCTCCCTCGCAGTACCCGCAGCCGGAGTCACGCAGCTCCTTGCGCGGAGGGAGCCGGGTCGGCCAACAGCACCAGAGCCGGTGGGGCGGTCCGCGAGCACACAAAGGCCTGAGAGCACCTTTATGTGCGCTGCACGCAGCCGGAGCGGCCTGCCACGCGTGAGGGAGCTGACAGGGCTGGGCCTGAGTGGAAGGCCATCAAAGATGACAAAAGGCCTGGAGCAGCTCCTGTGTGAGAAAGGGCCGAGTAGCCTGGGCCCATTCAGCCTGGGGGAACACTGAGGGGATTTGTTCAATGTTTATGAATACCTAAAGAGAGATGGGTGGCAAATGGATGAGGCTGGGCTCTTATCTGTGGTGTGTAGTGATAAGACAAGGAATAGTGGCCTACAACTTGAACATAGGAAATTCTGTATTAACATGCAGAAGAACTTCTTCAAGGGTGGCAGAGCACGGGAACAGGTTGCCCAGAGAGGCTGTGGAGCCTCCTTCTGTGGAGATAGTCAAGGCTCATCTGTACATCCGTAATTTTACCCAGCTACAGTTTTACCAAAGGCATTCAACATTCCCCCTCCGTATCCCCTTCCTAAGAGATATGAGGCTGGTAACTTACACAACAGTATTTTGCAGTGCCCCCATCTGTACAAACAGAGTAGTGCACAGCGGGCAGGCAAGATAGAGCCTGGTCCCAAGGAGCCACACACTAGTCCCTATTTTGCTTTTAACTGTACTGAACATACTTTTTGCCCTCTTTTATTTTACACATGCATATAAGGGATACCGCTGTAACTGAAACGCAACCAGTATCGAAGCAAGATATTGCATTAGCCCTATCCCCCATCCAACGCAACCCAGCCTTTCAACATGTACTAGATACAATGAAATCAAGGGAGAAATTGTATTTATTTGCCTGTTACACATCTTGACATTGTTATTTAGTGGTCCACAGGTGCAGTGTGTGTTGCAAGCTTCTCAAGCATTAACCATGACTTTTTAGTTCAGCACCAACTCAGTTCTCTACCAAGCAGAAAAAAAGAAGGTGGACACAGGAAATCAAAGGCAAGAAGTAGCTTCTACAGAAGCAGCTGACTTGTTTCAATTTAGCCCCCAAAAGCAATAGCTAGAGTTCCCACGGTAAAAAGAATGAAAGGGAGGGCCCAGTTGCCATTTCTCAAAGCATAAAGGCTAGAAGATAACCATAAAAATCACCCATGTGTTTAAGACCATCAATACCACAGACAGATAATTAAGTATGGATGGGAGTATGAAAATCTGACAAAACCAGGACTAGTTATTAACCAAAACAACTTCTAACTCAAAAGCCTACTAAGTTTGACTGTCAAAAACCATAGAGGTGTTTAGAGAACAACCTCTACAGGTTTGGGTTTTGTCCTTCCAGTCATCTACTACCTTGTCAGGAAAAAGGGATGAGGTCAGACAGACATTAACCAAACGCAGCACAGCTATTAAGGTGTCCAGGCGTCCAAGTCTGGTTTTTAAACAAAAGGCCATCATAATTTGTTGCATTCACAGGGTAACAGCACTACCTATATCTGACTGACCTTAGAAACTATCATTAACCCCAAAAGAGGGAGAAATAAATTTCCATTATGGGAAGGAAGCATAAATGAACTTCAGTAAGTGCAGCTCTCACTCATTCGTAAAGAATACCCTGGACACCACTGACATGGAGATAAAACAGACTGTTTTCTAAATTAGTTCTCACATTAATTCAGAACTGTGAAAGAGAAACCAATATTGTTCATATGCACTTTAATAACTTGACCAACATTCCTGTAAGTATTAAAAGTAGCTTTTATTAAAATAGAAGTTCTTCATATAAATATAATCATTACTGTGTACACAATTCATTTTGCTACAAACACACCGCCATATTCAAAATCAGTGGCATTATATAAAGTACAATATTTGTTCAGCTGCATAATTTCATATGCAAGTACCTTATTTTGCACATCTAGAGAGGTATGAATTATTTTGCTTTTCAGAGGACAGAGCGATATTTACAAGCAAACATGATCCAAACAGCACATGCAGATTCAGGGTAAGCAAACACACGTACACGAACAGCAAGTCGCACCTGGTCACCCCTACAACAGATTATTTCTTCACAAAAAGGAGACCTGTGACAGAAAACAAGAACAAATATCACCAAGCTGTTCTTTAAATTTTCAGTTACACAGTTATTTGAAACTTGCTTGACAACTATCTAGGAGCATCCAAATAAGGCTAAACCAAATAAGAAATACTGTTTTGTAGTGGAATGGCTGTTGTGTTGAGAAGAACAAGATTACATTGGCTACTTTTAACAACGGCAAAAAAATTAAGATAACTGTATTTCAGGGAAAAAATATTTTCCCTGAATTTTCCCTCATATTTTAATTTAATCCATTAGAAGTCTATCACCACTGAACTTGCCCAACTCAACACAAAAGCTGTACACTGTGACCTATTCACTAGGTATGCCACACACTCCTATCAGTTCTAACCTTGAGGAAATTGGTTTTCTTTAATACTTCACTACCAAAAAAAGCCACAATTCATATTTAAGCATTACTACTTGGTATTTGTACATACTCAGTCTTACCGAAGACATGTGGCAAATGCTCTCCTGGCATTTCTGTATACAAAATGGATTGGAAAACCTTTAAATGTGTGACCATCAGGTACTGCTCTTCTTACAGCATCCTGAAACTCCTCGTTTCCTGCAGAAATACCTGTTGCACGTTCAAGCTCATAGGCTGCTAATGCCGGTGACAGTAGATAGGATAGATGGTCATCCCAAACAGTAGAAAGGCCAAGATCCTGTGAAGCAAATTACAGCACGATGACAACCATGCAGAGAAAAAAATACGAGAATATGATTAAGTTTGGATACTGTATAGATTCAGATAAATCTATGAACAATCTTTGACTTGCAATTCATGGAAGTGAATCTGTGAAGCAGTGAGATACACATACCAAACCAGAAGGATCAAGAATCGAACACTAAAAACAAAATACCAAACATTTACCAAGAAATTAAGTCAGACTAGATTAAAACAAGACTAGCAGAGCTGAAACTGGATGTTTTGGCTACAATATATTTGAAAGAAGTGTAAGATCACAGTGCTAGCTCATAAAGAAACAGCAGAAATACAGAAAGGATCAACAAAGATTCACTTCATGTTTTTCTAATGTCTCTTGGAAGTTCACTTCAAAAAAACAATGGAAGAATTCCCAAAAGAATGAATGCACGCGCACACACGTGCTTTCCTTCTACCATTCCACAAGTGCAAGCAAGTAGAAAAATCTACCACTTCCATAGTTGATGAGATTCATACTCTGAGAATTATTTGCCACACTAAGCTTGAGCTTTAGGTAGTAAGAGAACGATTAAAAAAAAGATAGTAAGGGAGGGGTGGGTGGGGAGCGAGGTGGTTGTAAGGTTGTGAGGGAGTAAGAGTGAGAGAGAGGGAGAGAGGAGAGAAATCCTGACTAAGGAAGAAACTAACTTCCAGAAATACCTGCTGATTTTCTAAAGCATTCAGAGTATAACTGTAACAGCTGAAATCCTGCTTCTAATGAGAAATAAGATTGTGATGGATACACTCAGCTCACTAACAAACAGACTTTACCTTCTTAGTTCTTTCATAGAGCACATATAAATAGCCTGTAGATGCCTGTAAGCTAAAAATCATGCTTCTCAAAACAGAGCCAATGGCAGGGTGGGAGGAATAAGACCATGAGACTGCAGAACTGCTACTGCAAATACTAAGTGTGACAGCTAAACTAGCTCTGTACAGTCATCAATTTTTTCAGTTGCTTCAATTTTGAACACACCACATTTCTGCAAAAGTTGATAGAGAACACATTGCAAAGATCTAAGTATTTTCATTACAAGCAGCTGTTCAAAACAAGTACACAGTAAAAACGTGATCTGTTCAGGTAACAAAGGCACAATGACAGTTTCTAAAGATTACCTTCCTGTGTTCAGAGACAAGTATTCTCAGTTGCAATTCTAAATCGTTGCTCGTCACAGCTGCATCTATCGCAGAAGCACACAAAGGAGGAAAAGGGGGAACTGAAGATGCGGTTCCAGGAGAACAAACTGATTTTATTGCTTCTGCGCTCATGGGCTTCCATTTAGACTCATCATGTAAGTCAAACACACAGACCTCCACTGCATCAGAGGGCTGACAGTTTCCATAGAACTTCTGATGATTGAAGACACAACCTATCGTGCGATAAGGATACAATGGCTTGGGCTGTTCAACTATTGGAGGGTCATCAGGGCTGACAGGTCTGTGAATGTACCTGATTAAAAACATCCAAATTTTTATTAATAATCTCTGTATTTTAAGTCAGGCTAAAAATATTTAATAGGACAGAAGTCATTTCCCCTTTTAAAAACATAACCCAGATTTGTTGTTATCATCCTCCCCCCACCCCCACCAAGATAGCATTCTTGATTTACAGGAAAGTAATTATACGCATTTTGGAGGCGCAGCACACAACCAATCACTTTTCTTCTTTAAATCTAGAAAAGTAAACTAATTAATTGAGCAGATGCTCAACAGCAAAAAAGTTCCTATATGGCTTAAAACCACAGAAAAGTATATTATGAAC